ATGAATTAACGTTTCTGCATTTGACATTGAGAGCAAAGGTTGTAATTTAGATATATTTTTAAGATGGAAAAATGCGTTTTTACAAATGCTAGAAATGTGGCTTTCAAAGGAATGATTGCTAATAGCACACCTAAGTTCCTAACTGATGACGAAGAATTGACAGAGCAGCCATCAAGTGTTAGACATTATTCTAGGTTATTACATGCAGAGGATTTTGGTCCGATAATTAATACCTGTCATAAACACAGCCAATACCACTATTTCAAAAGAGAAATCAAAATATTGTTCCATTTCCCTTGTTCATCGAACACACTAGAATACAACTTTTCATATTAGCAAATACATACTTGTTAGTCAGCGTGACATTTTGTAAAAACATGTTACAAGATTATCCTGGGCAGATGGAACATGCGCACACACACACACGCACACACACACATACGTTTAACATGTTATTAATGAGTGATTTCTCAGCTTCAGTTCCCAGAGCAGTGTTAAGTGTTTCTCCACAGAAGTGGCTGACTGAAGGAGATTCAGTGACTCTGATCTGTCAGGTTAACGGCTCCTCTACAGGCTGGACATTCAGCTGGTACACTGAAACTGTCTCATCAGGTAAGATATAATGTGCTTCATGTAGTAACATCTGAATAAACTGGTTTCATAAAGAAATAGAGAGATTAAAAATATTTAATCACTCTGAATAATCTGATTATACCAACAAATGTCATTTATAAGACTCTCGTTTCTTGAGGTAACTGCACATTTTCACTTTATACAGACAACAGCAATCATTATAAGCGTCTCTCAGACAGCAGCAGAGGAGCTGGAGGAAACTACACTGTCAGTTCTGCTGCTCTAAAACACACAGGAGTTTATGTGTGCAGAGCAGAGAGAGGAAAACCAGCCTATAACTCAACCATCAGCAACACACAGTTAATATGGGTCACTGGTGAGTTCAGACTGAACCACAGAATGACTGAGACACTCTGGAGATTTTCCTTGATCTTTTTAGAGCTTGATGTGTCTTGAAATGTTGTCCTGTCATAATATACAGCTACTTTTTAATGGTGTCAATGGAGAAAGATGCTTTTGTTGTCAGGTGTAGTTACTGAATCTACTAGCAGGGCCTAAATAGACCAAACTAACAACACAACCTTGATTCCTGGGTTAGCTGCAAAGATGTAAAACTTTTAATTCTAATGGAGAAAAATTGCCATGAAAAACTAAAATATAACTACAGTGGCACAAAAGTGTCACTTACACAAGTGGACTTGAGGGAACATAATCAAATGTATAATCTGACTTTTTTAATAAATAGTGTTTTCATTGTGAAATTAATTTTTATGTCATTGACCACACCTTGATTCTAGGACCACACTTTACTAACAACACAGGACACTCCATCAATGTGCACATCAGCAAATTTTATAGGATGGACCATATAAACACTTAATCAATCATTTTAGAGTTTGATTAATATCTGCCTACTAATTATATCTTAGTAATTTAATATACAACAAACTCAGCTAACTATAAATACTGGTTCACACTGTATAGGCAAAGAAGAACTGACCCCTGAGTTGAGTCTGGTTTCTCCCAAGGTTTTGTTTTCTCCAATAGTAGCACCTTATAGAGGTTTTTGTTGGCTGTCACAGTTGTCTTTGGCTTGCTTGCTGATGGCATAATGACAAATATATTAAGGTGTAATTTTGTTTATGAATTTTAAATAGAAATACTCTATTGTGAGTGAATACTCTAGTGATGACTTTAGGATTTTCAGATTTTTTCTGAAAAGCTGCTTTGAAACAATTTAAATCAATAAAACTGTCTTGACTTGATTTCCAGTGTAGTTGTAATTGTCTTCTCAGGTGTTTCTCCTCCAGTCTCTCTGATCGTCAGTCCCAGCAGAACTCAACACTTCACATTTGTCTCTCTCTCTCTGAGCTGTGAGGACCAGAGTAACTCTACTGGATGGAGAATGAGAAGATACACAGATGATGGGCGGCTGAAAAGTTGTTCATCACCACAGTGGGGATCACAAACAGGATCTACATGTACAATCAGATACACCATCCCAGAGGACACTGGAGTGTACTGGTGTGAGTCTGAATCTGGAGAGAAACATCATCCTGTTAATATCACTGTACACTGTGAGTCTGTGTTTCTATATTTATTAATTTCACAAAGCCCTCATTTTATGTTTCAGATATAAATAGCCGAATTGTGATCTCAATTCATTCACCCACGCAATCTTATTCCTAAATGACAACAAATCCGCTAGACTATTAAACTTTTGACTATTAAACCATTGCTCAACCTTTGAGTTTTGTCGTTTAAAAAAAAATCATTGTGATTCTCAATTTATCCAGAATCGTGCAGAGAAAATGTATTATTATTATCATTATTATTAATGTATTGATTATTGTAACTCCTATTTGGATTAGGTCTCCATAAACTAGAATGTACTAGAACAGCTTCCACTCGGCAAACTCGTCGCCCAATTTGCGTCATTCGCGCGTCTATTCGTGTTTTTGATTGTATTTGATTTGATTGTATACTGTCTTGTAATTTATGATTGTCATTAAGTTGTAAGGTGTTCTTGTGTGTTTTGAATGGCACCTCTAAATAAAATGCATTATTATTATTATTATTGTTGTTGCTGTTGTCACATTGATTCGTACTATTTGTCAGTTGATGTTTGCTCTGTTTCTGTAGCTGATGTGATTCTGGAGAGTCCTGTTCATCCTGTGACTGAAGGAGATACTCTGACTCTACGCTGTTTATATCATCATTCAACCCCACCAAACCTCAGAGCTGATTTCTATAAAGATGGATCACTCATCCAGAGTCAAACTACAGAGATGATCATCCCTGCTGTCTCAAAGTCACATGAGGGTTTCTACTCCTGCAAACACACAGAGAGAGGAGAGTCACGCAAGAGCTGGATCTCAGTCACAGGTGAGAGTAGGAACTGTAAACACTATTGAAATGCTTCTGAATAATATACAGCACTAATATGACTGTAAAATGTATTGATCTCAGCTTCCTCCAGAACATCAGGATCTGATGGTCTCAATCCTGTGATAGTTGGAGTGACTGCTGGACTCACATTTTTGATCATTGTCTTCTTGGTCCTGCTGTGGCGCTACAGAAACAACAAAGGTTAATCTTCTGCCATATTAAAATTCAACGACACATTTCCTAAACCTGCGAACTGTCGTCCTTCAACAGCCTAAGCTGGTTATCTAAACTTAGCCGGTCTCCCAAACTGACAAAACTTGTGTGTTGACTGATTTTAAAGGGTTTTGGGGTAGTTTTCTGCTGGTACTATTCCAAATAATAGACTACTACAAATTAGCCATTTATGTATGCATAAAGGAGATTAAAGTCATTTTTTGACCCCCTTATTTCCTCAGATATTTTCATGAACATTTTCTGGTTGACTAGGTGGAAGATCTCAGTCTGCCTCCAGTGTCAGTCAACAGCAGAACAGCAGTCAGACATCAGAGCAGAACCAGAGTGAAGCTGGACATAAAACACTCATGTCTGGTGAGTCTTTACCCATTAACCATAAATATTTTACAATAAATCTTTACAAGCTGAGATTGAAGATACTTAGAAATAACTTTCAACTCACAAGACAGATCTCACACTAAATAATTTCCCCCTCTTCTAAAGTGTAATGTGATATCTGTGTAACTGACATTTCAATTAGATGTAATTCAGTTTAATAATAAATAATGCATAAAATATTTCACATGTAATTTAGAATGTTAATAGCTAGGGGTGACCCTGAATAGTCGAAGATTCGATGCTTCGATAGGAGGAGCCTGATTCGACTACCAATCTCACAGTCGAATATTCGCGGGGTGTTATGATCATGCCATTTTGGCTATATGGGGGTGCTCAAATGTCTGATTTCACATAGAACTACAGGTTTTCTCTCAATAAGTTAATATACAGCCTATTAAAATAATGCTGTAAATAAGAATCTGAAAAGAAAGAAGCTTCAAATAAATATTTTAACGTGCGTGAATGAATCCAACCACCCCTATAGATTTAAGTTTCACTTTCCATAATCCGTGCCCGACAGAGAAGCATTGGCGGCAGGGATTTAAAACTTTAACAAGACTCAAATTGACACAGGCAGAGTAAAAGACTGGATTTTTTTTTCGATCAGGTAGGGTACAAGTGATTTCAAAATATTTCAGCCGGTTTATATATATTGTGTACATATTATTTATCTCGTATAAGATGCATTTAATTCATAAGATGCATTGCTTGAGTTGCGCTGCAGTAAAGCGCTTCATAGTAGGCCTACAGTTCTACGGTGATTATCTCTTCAGCGCGCAGCGCGAGCAGCACAAACAACAATGCAGAATATTAATAACTATGACTGGGACTGTCATATACATGTACGAATCGAAATGGGAAGGTTTAAATAAAGTAGATTGTATGCGAGATATCGCGAGCGTAGAGAGCGGGAAGAAACGAAAGAGAGAGAGAGAGAGAGAGAGAGAGAAAGGGGAGAGATGCACGAGGTAGTCGGGTGGAATGAGGCAGAGACACAGTTAATGAAAATGTTGGAAAATAAACACTGAGTTCGAAGCACAGAAGTCTTGGGCTGACTCTTCTATCCAGTGGCCGTAACAGATACAGGAAATAGCCAAGAACCCGCGGATAATACTCGGTAAGCACAGACTTTTCAAGGCCCACCAAAACTGAGTATTACATACATAACAATTATAATGAGAACACTAATGAAACGCTATGATTTTTTTTTTTAGTTTAGTTGCTGTTTTTCTGCACGTTGTTGCGTGAAGAACGCGTCCACAAAAGGAGTTCATTCAGAGCCGCACAGACACGTTCGTGAATTCAGGGCATTTCGTGCAAATAAGTCGTAATATTAACGTTATGTTGTATAAATAATGAAGCGTATTCTATGTGAGATAAATGATGAGTTAAATCCAAGCAGCAACCTTCCGCTCTCTCTCGTGAAACCAACACGGAAGTGACTAAAACTGTAATTCATCGACTGGCCGCTAGAGGCTGGCTCCAAAAGGGAGTCAATCCCATAGACACCCCATGTTAAAATGCTCAACTTTACAGCAGAAAAAAAATTATGTTTACAGCCTGGTACAAAAAGTGGTTTTGGTCTATACAGCTAATTTTGTCCTTCATGACAACTGTGAGGGGGGTGAATTTTTTTAATAACTCATCCGTTTAAATTATATTAAGCCTTAAAGTTCTGCATAATTAAAGGCACTATATGTACGTTTTCGTCGCTAGAGGGCGCATATTCAAAACAAACTAGAAACAAAGGCGTAGTTTGATGTCGTGATTGAGTGTGGAATCATGGGAGTTGTCGTCTTCATCCCCACAGCCGATGCAATCCGACGGGACTCGGGCAGAAATCATGTTCATTGATGAGCTAATGTATTAAAGACTTATTAAGGTCACTGTAGTATGAAGCAGGGTGGGGCTAAAAGTCGTGGAAGCGAAACGAGGCCGCTGGAGTGATTGCTAATGAAGGACGAGTGCGATTCACGGCTCGAAAGCAGCAGAGCTTTTATTATGCCACAGTCGACCGCTTCCGCTTCTTCCGGTCATGCGTATGTGGGGTAAAACAGCGCTGTTTTATACTAGATACATTTGAGTGTATTGAAAGTTCTGTTATAATGCTACTCTGTGTGTTCGTCACCTATCTAATAAAATGCATAACATATTAAAGTGTCTTTGGGGTTTCCATGTTTTCAACAAAATAAAACCGAAAATCGAGGGGTTATGACGTCATTGGCAGGCGACACAATGACACTATGGACACGGTCCGTTACACTAGTTAAAATTGCTTATTTCTCTGGATTTAAACATTCTTCAAAACATTTGAGATAATGTAAGTACACAACTCAGCAAAATATATAACACTGTTCTAGTGGTTTTGAGATATTTTAATCAAAAAATCTTACATATTGTGCCTTTAAGGGCGTGGCCACTTGAGTGACAGGTGGATTGCCACTGCTGTCACCACCGTCGAGCTAGGTGGGCGTGGTTTCAGCAGCCAGCTCCCGCCTCTTTGCCCATTTTCGATTATCCAGGATTGACGCGCTGCCAAGATGGTGACGGCCGGCTCCGCCCACTTTGAGCTTCAAAAAC